GAGAAATAAGCGAAAATGTACATACACTGTTTTTTTTACAATTTATTTCTTCAAATTTGACAATAAATTTGGCGAAATCTAGGAAAGCTACATATATGCAATTTTATTCATTTTATTATGTAAATATTTAGTTTTAATTAGATTATTAATTAATCTACTTGGTATTTGTACTTAATAAGTAAAAAGCAAAAATGTAATACTTTTGATTTTTGTCTACGTAAAACATTTTATTTCTTCAACTTTGACAATCCCGTAACTTCATAATCACTATTGCTACACATATGCAATTATACTCATTTTTTTCTATATATATTTAGTTTCAATTAGATTATAAGTTTATCAATGTGGTAATTGTATTTATCAAGAAATAAGCAAAAATGTACATACACTGTTATTTCTTTACACTTCACAATTTATTTCTTCAAATTTGATAATAAATTTGGCGAAATCTAGGAAAGCTACATATGTGCAATTTTACTCATTTTGTTATCGAAATATTTAGTTTTAATTAGATTCTTAATTTATCTACGTGGTATTTGTACTTAACAAGTAAAAAAGCATAAATGTAATACTTTTACTTTTTGTCTACGTAAAACATTTTATTTCTTCAACTTTGACAATCCCGTAATTTGATAACCATTATTACTATACATATGCAATTAAACTCATTTTTTTTCTATAAATATTTAGTTTCAATTAGATTATAAGTTTATCAATGTGGTATTTGTATTTATCGAGAAATAAGCAAAAATGTACATACACTGTTATTTCTTTACACTTCACAATTTATTTCTTCAAATTTGATAATAAATTTGGCAAAATCTAGAAAAGCTTCATATGTACAAATTTACTCATTTTATTTACTTTCAATTAGATTTTACTTTTGTCTACGTTGTATTTGTATTTATTGATTAATAAGCAAAAATACACTGCTTACAAAACGGTGTGTACTCTGCAAACATTTTCTAATTACCTTTTTTTCTTCTGTTTATGAATTAAACTAAATAAGAATTGTGATTCATCTCGACGATTTTTCATAACCATATAAGGAAATTTTTCAAGACTCTCCTAATTTTTATTACTCTTTTATTCACTAATTTTCGTGTCCCAATAAGCAATGTTTCATCTTTCGTAACAGCTGTGATTCGTCGTTGCACAGATCGGGCGTTTTCGTAACCATATAAGGATTGCTTAGCGCTCGCAGCTGATTCATCGTGACGTCGATTAGACAATTTTTCAATAATCACGCATTTTCTTATTGCTTTCTTATCAATTAAGCATATATGATAAACGCTCAAGCGAACATTGGTTTATGAAATTTTCTTCGTAATAAGAACATTTATTATATTAAGTTACTCTCTTTTCTTCATACAAATAAATTTAATTTATATCTATTATATTTCCACTGTTTGTTACACAGATTAATTAATTAAATTCGATTTATAATAATTACAAATCTTCCATCTTTAAGAAAAGTGTGTATAGTTTATGTCATAAACAGTAGAAAAAAAGTAGTTCGAAAACGTTTACAGAGTACACATCGTTTCGTAATATGTAAATGACATAAATAAATACGAGAAAAAAAAGTAAAATGATTGGAAATTAACGAACGCAACGCGCAAAGTGCATAATTTTTTTGGCAAAGCAAAAACTTTCACCCAATCTGTGTGAGTAATAAAGGATATTTTTTCCGTTTCAAAGTTCAACCGTTAAATCTAAAAGAGCAAGTGTCAATAACACTTTTGCATGTTATATTATAAAAATAATTTTGAATTCAATATTTTATGTTTATTTATATCTTTTATAGTCGACATTAAGAATGACATATTTTTGAAATTCCAAGTGAAAATGATAATAATGTATTTTTTTTATAATTGAAAATATAAAAATTGTTCTTGTATTTTTTGTTAGATTAATTTAATTTTATATAAATGTACAATGTGAGACACTAAACAAGCATTTATGACAATAGCACTAATTATATTCGGATTAAACACAAATTGTCATGGGAATGAGAGAAACCGCTTCAAAACCGTTTTTTTTTTTGCTGTTTCGTTTCGTTAATTTGAAAAATGAAGAAAGAAATGTAAATTATCACATGATACGACAAAGATAATCATCAAAAGTTATAAATTTAAACGAAATAGTGGAAATTTAGAAACATCAGAAAATGACAATTATTATGAATATTTATACAAATTCCTCATTTCTAGAAGAAAAAAAAATGTACGAGTCTCAAGAATCTAAACTATATGTTTTATGGTGAATTAATTCCAATAGAAATAACCTTTCGAAAAAGTCGAAAATATAAGTTTATAATATATTTTATAATAAATAATTTTTTAAAACTTTCAAAAAAAATATAAAATTTTCAATATTTAAACAATTTTATAAAAATAATACATTTCTTTAAATAATTAATTAAATTAATATGTAATTTGAGGAGTTGAGAAATTCAATAAAAATAACGAGAAACGACATGATTTATTTACTAATTCCAATGTTTTCAATGTCTAACTTGATGCTGATCTAATCTGTCTATTAAGACTTGAGCTTTGATGCAATTCACTATCTAATCTCGTGGATTTCCGATTTCCGATCTTCTCCAAAATATTTTTTGTTTTTGGTTGAAATATTTTCAAAAATTTTGTTAATAAAAGTTTTATTTGTTGTTGGAAAATCTTTAATTGAACATTCCTCTCTCTTTCTCTCGTTCTTGCAGCTCTTTTGCCGTTTGATTTATTTTTTTCGTTGTTTGCACAACAAGTCAAACATCAAATATTTCACGCGCAAACAAAGTCCGTCTGTTTTCTTTTTTACCACACACCAAATATTTGACGATATACGAGAGCAAACTCGTAAAGTTTTTTATTATTATTAAACTCCTCGTCTGTCTGGTCGAACGAGATCAGTTATTTTTTTTATATATATATATATAAATTGCGTCGTTGCCGCACATCGAATTACGTAAAAGCCTTAGTTCCGGTTTTTTTCGGTAAAAAGTTCGAGCGACGATAAAACACCGAGAGCGAAATATTAAGGTGTGTTTTTGGAGCAAAAAAGTGAAATGCTTTTCACTTTAATTATGTTATCATCATCTGTTTAAACGTTCCCTTTCGGAATCTTAATTGATCTCGCATTACGTAAACATTCACGAGAGATAGCCGATAATTCTTTTGAATCTTTTCAAGTAATTTTTACTTTAATATAATTATTTAAATTAGTGTTAATTACGATTGTTGTTAGTTTATTTTAGGTGTGGGATAGAAACGTAATTTAATTATTCGGAAAACTCTTTCCTTTTTAATAACCGCAAAACATTTCTTTCTTTCTTTTAGTCACGCTTCATTTAATTGTTTCATCGCGGTTTTGTGTGCGTTCGCCTTCGGGCAAACGTTTAACAGCCGAAACTCATATATCTCTGGCAAACTTTCTAAGAGACTTGAATGGAGCCCGCAAATGAATGGAAATTTGCTAGAAATAATTAACGCAAAAAAAAAACATATAATAAATAATGATGCTAAAATTAGGCGGTGATTATTTGAAATTGAAATTTCTCTTATGTAAGCGTTTCCAATGGAATTCATTGGGGGAAAATCGCCGTTTCGACACTTCGCTAATATGGTTTCCAGTGTAATTAATCGAACAATGGAAACATTATCATTCTTGTTTTTTATTTTTGTTTTGTAACATATGCAATTACATTATAATGTTACACCTTGAAGACGTTTAAAAAATTAGTTTAAAAATTGAAGATTTTATAGAATTTTTGCTGTTTTCGATTAAAAATCTTAATATTAAATAATATGAATTATTTTCTAATAAAATAATGGGAGCATTTCATTCTGCTTGTAGAAAATAATGTTTTCGTGTTTGCACGTAGGTAAATAAATAATATTACTTGCTTTGCACTTTCTTGCATGCGCATAATTATACAAGACGAATAAGGCAAAGTTGGAGTTGAAATTATGGATAATTTATTGTTATTTGCTCTAGATTTTTGCTCCTTTTCTTTCTTTACATTTTAATAGGAAGTCGGATAATTGGCGCGAACGTGCGTTTCCGTTTCGAATATTTGTATTAATATAAATTTACTTCCTATTTGGAAGTAAAATGTTAATAAATAAACGGAGAAACTTAATGCGAGATTAAACTGGTCTTGTTTTTTTTTCTTTCTTTCAGTTCGTAGTCATTATTATGCGTGTTCGAATAGGATGTGTCTGGCAATTGCATAATTTCGCGTGTAATGAAGCACGTAGATCGTTTGGTGGATCGTTTCGTAATTTTCGTTTCTTTATTATTTGTTTGTGTGGTGCGTAGAATGCGTGCGTTCGTTGGAGATAGTTTTCACTAGGTTAGAGCAGGTTGTGACCGAGGCCTTGTGCTTTGGCCTTCGGTGAGGGTTGGCCCGGCGAAAGTGGCCCGCCCCACTCTTCTCTTCCTCCTCCGTAGCAGAAGAAGTCGCCGGTCTTTAGTGGTGGACTATAAAATATTCTGCGGCCTCTTCGGAGTCATGAGTTAACGGTTTTTCTTCCGAAGAAGAACTTCAATACAATCCTTTTGGTCCCGTGGTTCCTATCAAATATGAGGGTCCATAGGAACCTAGTGGTCAGTGATACATTTTTCAAAACAAAAAAAACATATATTTTTTTTAACAACTACATTTCCAAATACAATTTATCAATAGTGCGATTTTCTATTTGCCATTTCCTCCGGTGAAATCTTCTTTCATTATTGTTTCAACGGTTAGCGTCGGTTCTGTTGATTAGCGCCTCGTATCTGTAATTCGAGTGCACTTCGCGTCCCGATTTTGTTTTTTTATTTGTCTGCGAGATCTCTTTTGATAACCCGGTGAAAGCCACGACTTCTCTCATCTTGTTTGCCAAAACTAGTTTCAATCGCGATACGTTTATTATATTTTTTGTTGATTTCGGATTTTTAGTAGTTCAGTTTGTTTAATTGGTGAGATAATTTGATTATATATATATTTGTGTTTGCAGGTGACCCTAGTCGTGCTTCTGCAAGCTGCGCTAATACTCAGCAAAGCGGTGGAACCATTGCAACAACAACAACAACAACAGAATAAACAAATTGTTCAAACGCAACAGTGAGTTATTGGTTATTGTTGTTTTCTGTAATATGTTTTTATTTGTTTGTTTTGTTTATAGAGTTGCTGAAAAACGTGTTGGTTATGATTACGCTCCTCAGGTCGAGGAGCACCACGTAGTAGATCACCATCCTGTTATCGATGAACATCATCATCACGACGAGCATCACCACGATGAGCATCACCACGATCCGGGGTATTGGAAGAAGAAGGTGACCTGGAAGAAGGGCTGGAAGAAGATCTGGAAACCGGCGAAGAAACAGATCTGGAAGCCGTCCTGGAAGAAGTACTACAAGCCCATCTGGGTCCCGGTTCAGGTCCCGGCGTGGAAGGAGATAAAGGTGCCGGATTGGAAGAAGATTTGGAAGCCGGTCTGGAAGCAGATTCAGGTGCCAGCATGGAAGGAGATCCAGGTGCCCGATTGGAAGAAGATCTGGAAACCGGTCTGGAAGCAGATTCAGGTGCCGGCATGGAAGGAAATCCAGGTGCCGCAGTGGAAGAAGATATGGAAGCCCGTCTGGAAGGAAATTCAGGTGCCCGCGTGGAAGGACTATCAGGTGCCGGCGTGGAAGAAGCACTGGATCCCGGAATGGCACAAAGTCGGAATTCCCGGTGAACATTTCTTAGGAAAGGATCATCACGGCAACGAATACACCGCGCACGATGTCTGGAAGAAGAAGTTAGTGTGGAAGCCGATCTGGAAGAAGTATTGGAAGACTGAGAAGAAGCAAATCTGGATTCCGGACAAGAAGTTGGAATGGAAGGAAGACTGGAAGCAGGAATGGAAGACGGTCAAAAAGCAGATCTGGGTGAGCGACAAGAAGTTGGAGTGGAAGGAAGCTTGGAAGCAGATCTGGCGCACCGAGAAAAAGCAAATTTGGGTTAGCGACAAGAAGCTGGAATGGAAGGAAGCCTGGAAACAGATCTGGCGGACCGAGAAGAAACAGATTTGGGTCACAGACAAGAAGCTGAAATGGAAGGAGGCTTGGAAGCAGATTTGGGTGCCAGACTGGAAGCAGATCTGGGTTCCTGGTTGGAAGGAAATCTGGAAGCCTGTGATTATCCAGGAGTGGTTCCCTACGCCCGACCATCACGACCATCACCATCACGAGGAGCAGCACGGCGGTGGATGGGATCGAAAGGGTTCTCCCGCTCAGCAGGGCGTCAAAACCAACGAAATCTTCAAGCGAAACACCCAAGAACAAGTACAACAAACGACAAGCAACGTCCAACAACAACAGCAGAAACAGCTACAATCAAATTGGCAATTTCCTTCGTAATTGCGACTCCTCCATCTTCCTTCCCCTCGTAACCCAATTGTAAATAATATTTTCCACCTAACTTCTCACCTAACGAACTTTCGACTGACATTGATTAAGTTTTAGTACCTTTTTAATTGTGTATTATATAATTATTTGTTTTTTTTTTTATGTTTGAGAGTGCCTGTGCGTATTATTATTTGTTATACAATTTTTGTTTTTTTTTTACATATATAAAAATAAAAAAAAAATTACAAACGAACGCTCTTTATTTGTCCGAGGTGAAAGCATTCCAAGTGTTGTTTACCGAAGAAATTATGTCGTGGGCGTCAGCTTCGCGATTACTCAACGACGCGTCAATTAAGCCAATTAAAAGACACTTTCACTGATTATTTGGTTTTATCCTCTCAGCCTTTTGGTGCTGCTTCAACTGAAAGAGGAGAAGAAAAAGAAAAAGAAAGAGAAGAAGGTGAGAGTTACTTAACTTGACTCGAAGTCGCAGGTCGGGATAAAAGTGAAAGGACAAACGAAAATAAAACGTGCGCTCTGTTCCGATTTAGGAATATCTACGTGCACCTGATTTATTTGGCAACGTTATTTTCGTGTTGCCGTTTTGTTTTGAAAGTTTTCCTCTGGGTTTCTATTTCTCCTCAAAGTCCTGGACTGCTTTCGGCGATGCCGCCAAGCTTTCACGACGACAACGTCTACGAAAATGTACACTTTCTTCATAAGATGAACTAGAAGAAATATCCAACGATGACATCTACAACATAAATTTTATCGAACGTGATTCAGCTGAAGAAGACACATCTTTAGTAGAATTGCAAATCGAATATGCAAATTGAAAAAGAATATAGAGAGAGAATTTTTATTTTACATTGTCTGATGTCCAAGAACAATAAATTCTTATATCTCGAGAAAGTATCTTCATATTCAATAAATCTATTTAGAAAAAAAATGTAGTTACATTAAATTCTATATGGAATTAAATGTATTTATATAGAATATTTCAGGAGTTTGTTTAATCCAGTTACAAAACATTGAAAGCACTTATAATTAAATTAGTATTCGATGAATGTGTTAGAAGTACGTCCGGAATAGATTGCAGATTAAGATTAGATTGATATCAAAGTATAATTTAGATGGATGAATTAGGTTTTTTGTGGATTAGAGAATGGATTGTTATTAGTGTATCGCAGCGGGATATCGATAGAAAGTTTCAAACGATTTATAAACGGATTGTATCAATGTCAATAGTGATGCAGTGCAGGTAGCAATAAATAACAGGAAAACGACGTTAATAGTTTAACACTTTTATAATTTTGTTTCCTAATTAAACATAAATATGGATATATAGATTAAAAATAAATAAATAAATAGTTTAGGAATGTCTGTGGCTAAGTTATCGCTGGGGAACGGCGGATTTGAGCAGCACTAGCATCGTGTAATTGTACTTGGCGATGTTCTCCACCATCAGTGAATTGTTGCGGACTGCTTCCATCCCCCAGGATGTGGCCTCGCCGCCCCAGTTGGTACCCACTCTTTTACCTCTATTGGACCCCAGACTTTTTTCCAAACGGGCACGAAAACCTTTGAAAAAAAATAAAGAAAAATCATAGACTGTTAACTACAAAATCAATTGATTCGTAATCGTATAGGAAACAATTCAAATCCAGATGTTAACGATTAGCGCAAACAGCGAAAAATCCGGAAGCAGGAAGCACTTTCGCCGCTCGAGACATTTTCCGAATCAACAAAAAGTTGACTGCGTATTTATTCATGCAGTGTTTTCTATTGTTTTTCGTGCGACTTCTTCCCGAAATAAAAAGAAAATGTAATGGATACGAAAAGAAAATTTGCTAGAATCACTTTCTTTCACTTAACACTAATTAAAAGTGCGCAAATAAACGCGAGCGCTTTCAGTTTATCATCATCATCTGCCGTACCTTTTTTTCCACCCAATCTTTCACCCAGTACGCTTTCCATTGTGTCTTCGCCTTCCAAAATCCGTCCGCGCTCGACCCTCCTCCACTCTTAGGTAACACCAAACTGAAAAATCATCCAAACACAATTTAATATACAAAAAGTTTCAAAGGAAATTTACTAACTTATTTCTGGGCGGTTGGTAAACGCAGCAAGCTCTTCTAATTCCGATCAATACAATGAAACCGATCAGGATCTGAATCTGAAAGTCACCCCAAAAAAAAATTAATAAAATCTGTAATTCAACAGTTGTAAAAGTTTACTTACAAATATTTTCATTTTAGATGAGATCGCTCCACAAAGTGCGATGCCGGTGTGTGCCTACCGTTTGGAAATTCGCAGCTTTTATATATAAATTGCACATGGTACATTTTTTGAATTCGTTATTACAGAAAGTGACCTTTGTAGGCCAAATCTTCATCGTGCATGGCAATGAAAATCGCTTTCATGGTCATTGTCTCAACGCGCGCGCGAATTCAATGTACGCGACGTGAATTCACCAAAATTAAAGCATTTTCCAATCAACCCGAAGAAAGTAAAAAGTATTTTTTTTTTGGTAAGAAGAAAGTAAAATTTGCATCTTTTTACCTTTAAATTTCCAAAATAAATTGCATAATTTGTAACTCAATAACTTCATAATGTTTCTCGTTATTATTATTGTTGTTTGTTATCTTAATCCTCTCGAATTTGTATACACTTCAAGCAAGTTTATTTCCGAACCGAAAACAACAAGTGCTCCAGATAATCATTTTTATTTTTTGATTTATTACATAATTTCTTAATCGCGTGTAAATTGTATTGAAACACGATTTCTTATTTAAATGTACAACACGTTTATTTATATTTAGATCCATTAGATGTATGCAATTTTATGAATTTGTCAAGCGTGCTCTTTGTGTAAATCTGCGTATTGTTAACAGTTATTACTCTGGAAAATCATCTCCGTTCTACTAGACTTCCATTTCTTTTGTCTGTAATGATCTTTATTAGAATAAATACATATGAACTTTGCATAGAAAACAATATAAATGAAGATTGAGGCAACGATAATGGATGTTAATAATTTTTCAAAAAAAAAAAAAAACTAAACATTACAATTCAAAAGAATTTGCACGTTGAAGAACTATTTCCAATTTAGTGTATAAGTGATTATGAACGCTAATACTTAACAAATTTAAATATCACGTAATATTATTAAGTTTTGATAATGATGATTCAAAAGCAGATTGTATAACTTTGATTATTTAATAGATTTTGAAAAATTTTATAAATCAATAAAAGATTTAATTTAATTAAAATCCATAAAACGGGAAATTGAGAAAGTCCATGTACGACTGTCTGCATATTATGAATATCAAGTTTGTAAGTATTTCAACTTTCTAATATTGGGAAACAGTATCTCGGAAAAATTTTGTTACAAGAATCATTGAACTTTGTTACCTACAGTTGGTTCAAATTGAAGGTACAAAAAATTGAAATAAATGTATTGCTAATGTATTTTTTTATTGTATTTCTGGTTAAAAGATGCGTTGTTTAATGTCTGTTGTAGTCGATCCAGTCCAAGTAAGAGTATACCCTCAGGAAGACATCGGGAACGCCGACGCCGCACGGGATTCCCCAGTTGACAATTCCGACAAGATATCCATAGGTGTCGACCAGAGGACCACCGGAATCACCATGGCACACTCCCTGTCCGTAACCGGTGAAAGTGCAGAGCTGCGAGCTGATCACGGGCTTTGCCGTTTGCAACTGCTGGCATTTGGGAACGCTCAACGTCCTCACGTCGATGTATTGAAGACGATCGGGATAGTTTCCTGGAAAAGTGGTCATACCCCAACCGCTCACAGTTACATCAATATCTTCGTCGATATCCGAATACGGCAATGGAACGGCTGCAATGGTTCCATCGAAATGAAATCCGGACCTCAGTTTGATAATGGCGACGTCGTGCTGAGACCAAGCCTGGTTGTACTGCTCGTGCACTATGTAGTGGCTGACATCGCTGCTTTGTCCGCCTTGCGAAAGGTAAAGAGTACCAGCGATAACGGTCAAACTGCCTGGGTTGTAGCTAACAAAGAAAAGTTAAAAGATCATTTTTTTATCAGCAACAATATTCGACATACTTGATAACGCAGTGAGCTGCAGTCAAAACGGTGAATTCATCGAGGAGTGCTCCGCCGCAGACGTGAAGTCCTCCGTATCTCAAAGAGATCTGATGAGGAAACTGTCCAACGCCAGCACTGTATCCTCCCACAATCCTACCTTCTTGAGCTGCAAGAATAAATAATTATAATTGAACGAATTAAAATTTTCTCAAATAAATCTCACCAGAAGTCAACTGCAGACAAGCCACGATAAACGCGATCGCTAGTTGAGCAATCATGATGGATATAGTTAATGAAAACTGTACTCTACAACTATTTCGGCTCCTTTATATATATCCACGAAATCTATTTTGGCGTAATTTTTATTTTTCCACTTCAATTAAATTTAGTACAAAAATAACACATACAAAAAAAAAATAGAGTTTAATTTTAATTTTGAATTTAAAGTGTGCGATAAATATTATAGCTATTACTGGTTTATGACATTGTTTTTATTTTATTATTGTTGCATATGATTTACCGATATTTGAAAGTGATACAAATTTATTACTAATAAACATCGGATTACATCATTAATGTCTATTTCAAGTTAGAATTTATTAATCAAAATATAGCAAGCTAATTAAACGATACTAATACTATAATTAAAGTAAAATATGGACTTTAATATGTGTGATTTATAGCTATTGCTGTTCAGTTATAAAACCTTGACAAAGTAGAAAAAAAAGTTTATAGGCTCAAAAAGCAGTTTCTTCTTTATAACTCGATGATCACATATTCTAAATAGTGTAACATGGTAAAATAGACAACGCTGCAACTACGCTCCACGGTGCAACTATGTTTCCAAAATTCTGGGAGACCGCAGCGAACCGCGAAAGAAGACGGTTAAGGTCTCCACTTGAGAAGAAATTATAGATATAAGAGCTCCAAGAGGACGGTGTTGGTGCTCTAGAGGAGCTAAGGAGAAGAAGAGTGCTGATCTGAGGAAGCAGTTGTAAGAGTTATTCCTCTCAGAAGGAAGTGGCGCACTAAACCTTCCCACGTTACGGACACACGCCCTGCCGAAGTAGAAGATTTTGTATAATCTTGTTTTTTGTACATGAGCACTGTCGTGTTACAATAGAAAAATGAAAACTCAATTTAAAGTTTAATATATAGGCGTTATTATGTACATATTTATTATTATTTTAGTGTAAAACTCTGTCAAAGTTGATTTTTTTTTCAAAAGCGTCTTCATGTTCCATCATAATTAGATTCTTAGTAAAAACGTAATTTAATTTGTATTTAATTAGTACATAAATGTCGATATATGAATCTGATAATGAAATAAACTGAACACTTGAACTTAATGTTATCATTGACACCGCGAAACGGAAAAAAAATCAATTTAAAAATTAATCTAATTGTAATCAATTTTTCTGTGAGGGTATAAAAGGTAGAATTGTTTGTGATTTATTTGTATTATATGTCGAGATGCAGAAAGTAACATTCGTAGTTCTCTGCGGTCTGACCGCAATCTTGGGTAAGTTACATACACATATACTTGTTTTGTTGATTAATTGATTTTTCTTTGTTTCAGCTGGACCTCCAACCAAGTTGGGATCCAGAGTCATCGGTGGTTCCGCAGCCACCCTTGGTCAGTTCCCATACCAAGTTGCCATCAGATACGACAACTGGCATCTCTGCGGAGGTTCCATCCTCGACGCGACCACCATCCTCACCGCCGGACACTGCGTCAAGGAGTAAGAGTGTTTATTTGCTAGATTGTTATATTAATTTATTTGATCGTAGTTCTCACCCATCCCAGATGACCGTCATCGCCGGAACCATCCATCTTTCCGGTGAGGGTCAAGAGAGCAAAATCAACAGCGTCAGGTTACACGGAAAGTTCGCCGTCTCTTTGGAGAACGACATTGCTATCTTGAAGCTGACCACCCCGTTGAAGTTCAACGAGAACGTGAAACCAATTGTCTTGCCAACCACCTCCATCAAGGGAGACAGCGAGGTCCTTTTGAGCGGATGGGGAACTACCAGCTACCCAGGAAACGTCCCGGACGGCCTCAGGTTTATCAACCTGAAGACCATGGATAGCGAGACCTGCAACCGCCTGCAAAACTGGGAAGTCTTCAGCTCTCAAGTCTGCACCTTCACCAAGGCCGGAGAGGGCACCTGTCAGGGAGATTCCGGTGGCCCATTGGTCGATGCCAACGGTGCCCAAGTCGGTATCGTCTCATGGGGAACCTTCTGCGCTGTCGGAGATCCAGATGTCTACACCAGTGTCTACCACTTCTTGGACTGGATCGAAGAGAACAGGCACTAAACACTCATGTATTTCTTAAACAAATAAATTTAATTCCAAAATACATCTTTATATCTGTCTCCCAAAACAATCCTTACTACTATCATTTTGAATAAAACACAACACAACAAATTATGATTGTTTCAAAACACTTGCAAGTAAATAAATAAATTTGGGTCGATAAACAGATATTTTTAGATTCAAGCAAAAAAATCTCAAATTAGAGATACTTAAAATGATAAATGAGATTACGTTGATTGATTACAAACAAAATTATTATCATTGCACTTCCTAACCGAAACTTTTCCTTGTCGAAATTTTCAAAAAGTATATATATATAAATTTATAAATATATAATTAGTTTTATTTTGAATCTATTAATAAATATATCAAGTGTAAACAAAAATAATATAGATAATTTCAATTATTAATAATTATATCTATTTTTCCTTAATAAATTGATTTAATGTGATTATTTTTGTATAATATTAAAATCTTGATAAAACTCTACGAATAATTGTCGTTGGTCTTCATTACTTTTTTTTCAATACTTTTTTAGCAAATAATTAGTGACTGATTGATAATAATTTCTGCACTTTGTCTCGACTCGAATATTCTTTGTTAGTAAACAGAACAATATAAACTGATAATGCAATAAATTCCACTACTTGAAATGATAGCGAATCATCATCGGAAATCCATAATTTAGATTGATTTAGGATATGTCTAATCTCTGCGCATTATCAATTGGGTTCCTCTTTTGAGACATCGGATATGAACCGATAATTTAATATTTTATAATCAAACCCAAGTCCGTTTATAAATTTTGTTAATTGCGTAATCATTTATTGGAAATGTATATTATATGGATAGGGAAAATAATAATGTGTTTGTTAATTATGTAATGTATTTATTGTCGAATTTATTTGATTTAATGTCTGTTCTCTTCGATCCAGTCCAAGAAGTGGTAGACGCTGGTGTAGACGTCTGGGTCTCCGACAGCACACATGGTACCCCAGGAGACGATACCCACTTGGGTGAAGTCGTTGACATCGACCAATGGGCCGCCGGAATCGCCTTGGCAGACTCCCTCTCCGGCCTTGGTCATGGTGCAGACTTGGGAGCCGAAGACTTCCCAGCTTTGCATACGATTGCAGGTCTCGCTGTCCATGGTCTTCAGTCTGATGAACCTGAGACCGTCGGGAACGCTTCCTGGGTAGCTGGTGAGACCCCATCCGCTCAACACAACATCGCTGTTGGCTTTGATGGAGGCGGTTGGCAATTCAACGGGTTTTACGTACTCGTTGAATTGCAATGGATCGGACAGCTTCAAGATAGCAATGTCGTTCTCCAAAGAGACGGCGAACTTTCCGTGCAACCTGACGCTCTTGATCCTCCTCTCTTGAGCTTCTCCGGTAAGGTGGATGGTTCCAGCAACGACAGTCATCTCGGATGGATGAGAACTAAGATCAAACAAATTAGTATAACTTTGTCATAAAACTTGCAATAAACTCTCTTACTCCTTGACGCAGTGTCCGGCGGTGAGGATGGTGGTCTCATCTAGGATGGATCCAGCGCAAAGATGCCAGTAGTCGTATCTGATGGCAACCTGGTATGGGAACTGTCCAAGAACAGCTTCTTCGCCTCCAACGATTCTGGATCCCACCTTGGACGTAGGCACGGCTTCAGAAAAACCAAAGCAATCAATTAAGAAACAACAAGCAGAGTCTACAAAACTTACCCAAGATTGCGGTTAAACCGCACAGCACTAAGAATGTTACTTTCTGCATTTCGCTTAGCAATATAGCAAACGTCGAACTTGCAACCGTTTTTATACAAAAAATTGTAAAAAGATTACAGATTGATTAATTCTTAAATTAGATTTTTTTACAACACTCAAGATAAGTTCAAGTGGCGTGCTTACATTATCAGTCTTTTTCTGTTTACTAACTAAAATTTTGTACGATTGTTTGAACAACAATTGCTAAAGTGCATCAGTGCATTATTTATCTGTTTTCAGCATTATCTAATAATATTATTATTTAATTATTTTAAGTTTCAAAGTAAATATTCAATGAGTAAAACCGAATTCATATCATGTTTTAAATATTTCTAGAAAATGTGTTTTGTATTTTTTGTAAAATTATAATAAAATTATTCAAATCTAATTTTGTTGGTAAATAGTAACAAATAAACTGATAATACAATAAATGCCACCACTTGAGGAATGTTTTATTTAAAAAGAAAAACAAGTTTATCTTGCAAATACTAATTACAGATTGATTTAGGATACGTGCGTAATCTTTGAAATTTACTGTATAAAATGACCGGATTCGATCATTTTCATTCATTGCATACAAAAGTATAGACCGGAGATGAGGTCTTTATTTCTAGTACTTTGCGGTCTCACCGCTATTTTGGGTAAGAATTTTTCAATTTGTAGTTGAACAGTAGGTGTTAATTCCTATTTACAGCTGCCCCAGGAACCAAAATTCTTGGTGGAGATGAAGCCGTCTTGGGTCAATTTCCATACCAGATATCCATCCTTTACCAGAACTACCTCCGCTGCGGTGGATCTATCATCGATGAAACCACCATCCTGACGGCTGCTCACTGCGTTTTAGGGTAATTAAATTAAATGAACGGGAGGTTTCAGAGATTATCAGCGATATTACATTGCAGTTATTATCCGTCTTTGCTGTCCGTCAAGGCTGGATCCGTGCAGATCTCTGGAATAGGTCAAGAACACAGAGTTGCTAGCGTCAGGGTCCATGGAGATTACGCAGAATCTCTGCTGAACGATATTGCCATCATTAAATTGGCAACTCCTTTGGAATTCAACGAGAACATTCAACCCGTATCTTTGCCTACTTCTTTGATCAAGGGTGACAGCGATGTCGTGATCAGCGGTTGGGGTACCACCAGCTACCCAGGAACCGTCCCCGACGGTCTCAGGTTCATCCATCTGAAGAGCATGGATTGGGACACCTGCAACGCTTTGCAAACCGCCGAAGGCTGGAACGTCTACAGTTCTCAAATATGCACCTTCACCAGATACGGAGAAGGCGTATGCTCAGGAGATTCCGGTGGTCCATTGGTCGATACTAACGGTGCCCAAGTTGGTATCGTTTCCTGGGTTACATACTGTGCTGTAGGTGTACCGGATGTGTACACCAGCGTCCACTATTACTTGGATTGGATCGAAGAGAACAGACAATAAAGCAAATGTACAGAAGAAATAAAACATAATGAAGACAAATTTTCTTTTACTTTAATCTTTTAGTTATTATACTCCAATAAATCTACCTCAAAAGGTTTTCCTAATTTAAAAGTATTCAAAAAACTTTTCAATCAAAGATCATTACTAAAAGCTTCATTAAATAGAATTAATTTGATGTTATTGAGAAACTATTATAAGTGTGAAATAAGTATCTAGCATTTAAAAGAAGAAATTAATTGAAAAAAGATACAAGTGTTTCCTTTTATAAGGAATTCTATTTAATTTAAAATTGGCGAGTCATCTCGTTGATACAATGAAATAATAATTAGAGTAAATTGCAAAAAAAATCATATTCAATTAAAAATAGCACTTTTCAGTAATTATTATCATATATAACATTGTTTTTTAGTATATACTTAAATACTTTACTTAAATAATTCATGCATTTTGTTCAGCATTTAATGTTTTCTTCAACAGTTACGTAATTTGTAATTGGCGCTTCTTCTTCGGTTAAACTCGACAAAGCTGACCAATGGAAGAGCTTCGATAGCTGAAGACGCATGCGCATAAAGAGTCAGTTTTTCGGTCAGTTCAACTCAAATATCTTTTGTAACCGTCAGTGTTAACTGTCAGGCAGCATTCCGAATTATTATTTTTTTTCTACAACAAATCGTGTGTAGAACGCGCTGCAGCCTCACGATAAGCATGGGTGAGAACTACGACTACGATTCGCCCCAATTTTTGGACTTCGAGACCATAATTTCAGGAAACGAGGACAAATCCAAACTCGAGGAATACTTTGGTTAGTAAAATGCAAATAAAAAAAAAACAAAGATCTTTGTTGTTAACGTTTATCTCGATTCCCGCAGAGTTCGACCATGAAAACCCAAACAAATGTGATAACAAGGTGGTCATTGTGAATATTGAGAGCTCTGACAGTGGACCAGACCTGAACGAGAGCAGCACAACTGAAAGTTTCAGCGATTCCCAGTACTTCTCTCCAGGTAAATTAGTTTATTTTTATTGTATTATTTTTTTATCACTGATGTATTATTCTTTAGCCCCACTAGCTTGCAATGGCATGCGGAAATCCCTCAGCATGTCGTGTCTGCCTCAAGACAAGCCTGTTGATAGGGAACCATTGGAATATGTCAGCAACACTTTGCAGAACATGAAGTTAAACAACCCTGATACTGGTTCGACTAAATCAATTGAAATTGATTGTTCTGAATACAAGAGGGGTAGAGCCAACAGTGCTTCTAGATTACAAAAACAAAATTTCCGGGTTAGTAAATCAATCAACAAACCTCTTTTTAATTAATTATTTAAAAAATATTTGCAGTCCAACTATTTATCTCAGCCAAAACAGTTGAATCCTAAATATGTGAGCATGGCGGAGATAATAAATAAGTTCCATAATATGACACCTGACAGATTCAGGAGCAAACCGAAGGGAACACAAAGGGTGACAACTGAAAGTGGACCTATTGCTTGCACCATCCCAAAATCACCAGCACTGACATCGAAAAATCGCCAAAGGAATGTTCATGTTTTAACGTACGAGGAGAGGCAGATGCAGGAATTCGAAGAGGCTAAAAAGTACGTGCCTTTGAAAAAGTATATTTATTGTTTACTTAAATTGTTTTTGTTTGGTTGTTATAGGCATATGTATAAAGCGAATCCGGTCAATGTAAATGCGCTTCAAGGTATTACGAAATTGGGGCCTTGCACGAGGAAGCCTAACACTAACCCAGAACCGTTCAAACTCACAGAAGTTAAGAAAAAGGTGATAAAAGAGCCGCCTGTCAAGGAACATAATTTCCACGCGAAGCCTGTTCCAAAATCTGTGTACGAGTGCACGAATCCAGTCATCAAATCTTCACTATTAAATTACACTAAATTAACTAAAACTAAGGTAAGCTTTCACATTTGTTAATTTATATCGTTATTTATTTCGTGTTTAATTGCAGGTAATAAAGAAAGAAGAGCCGTTGAAGCCGATGAAACCATTCACGGCGACAAGGACGAAGCCGGCGCCGTTTAGTTTCGAGATGAGAGATCAACGAATTCTGCAGAAGAAAGAGCAGCATATACAGAAAGTGCGTTAATCAAACGTTTTTAATAGTTCAGTTAGTAATGGTTTATTGTGTTTTTTTAGGTAATCGAGGAGGAAAAGAAAGCTCGAGTATTCCATGCGAATCCCTTGCCTAAAAAGATTTTAACCGCCCCTCAAATAAAACCCAAAGTTACGCGATACGGTTCTATGGAGAGCGTAAAATCCAATGTAAGATTTACACCAGTTTATTTATCACATTTATTCTAATTTTGTTTTCTATAATTTTTTTTTTAGAAAAGCGATGATTCCATCTTGGAACCGGCTCCATTCAAAGCGCGTCCCGCTTTGGTGCTGAAGGCTAAGCCTTTTGTGCCGAAAAAGGAGGAGAGGCCTCTGCTCGAGGTGTCCGAATTCACGTTGAACACTGATAGGAGAGCCAAAGAACGGGACGAGTTTGATGCGAAACTGAAGGAGATGAAGGAACGCAACGAAGAACTGATGAGGCAGAAGGAGGAGGAGGAGATGATTTTGGCCCAGATGGAAGTGGCAAGGCTACGAAAGGAGGCTGAGCACAAGGCGCAACCCATTAAGCTCTACAAAGATATCAAGCCGGTGCCACCAAAACCTGTGACACTGCCGATGACTCCGAAGTTTCGTTCTGGGAAAAGCAACAAGGAGAACATCGGTTGAACCACAGTAAACAGTGTCTTATTTTATTTTTAAGTTATCCAATATATTAAATAGAAGTGAACTAAATGAGAGAGGGAAAGAGTGATATATAGTTTTTATATTTAGTGCGAGGAGCATATATTCATGATAACAATTAAAATTAATTTCTTTTTTATTATTAATATTATTGCTGTTACACTATTAGTTGTCTTCCTCTGATTTTGTGGTCAATGTCACCGGTAGTCTATCGCCCCATTTTGTAGATCTAGCGCAATGGAACGTGCTTCTGTAATAAAATAAGGAAATTATAATTTTATTTATAAAAATAACTTCTGTTTGAATGATGTAACTCACTTTCCGTGCTTCGATGCTGTGAATATCACCTCATCCAGACTTCCGTTCGCCGTGCACAATCTGCAAATACTATGCTTGGAACGTACCAAAGTCTCCTTCACGGCCCTCGGCCACCTCTCATCACGTTCATCCCTTGCTCCTAAATCCAAAACACTTGTTATTGCTTGCACTTGTAGATTTGCCCAGATTTACCTTTTTTTAACACGACGTAAGAATATTGCTCCTTCATTAATTGCATTCTCTCGGATGTGGATGAATTAATAAAGTTCACTTCGAAATTGCAGGCGTAATTGCTGCTCATGTACTTGGGACACGCGAAATCGTGCGGACACTGAACAAAATATAAAAAAAATTGTATAACATAATTATGAAAAATATGAATAAACATTCGCTATACCGGACTGAATACGTGTCCCCTATTACGTTCATCTTTGATTTGTAGCACGAAATCTCTGGCCTCATTGATAATCTGAAAATCTTAAAATAATATTTTCTTGCACTTGTATGAATCTATATTTTTACATTGAATCCGGCTTTAGTTCCCAATTCCACAATGATCAGATACCTTTCCGTTTTGTTCCACAAGTTCATTACAGCCTCCATTCTGCTTTGGAATGAAGGTAATTCCATTAAAGTATAAGCCGATACAACCAAATCGTAAGTCGTCTAAATAATATACGGATTAGTTATAAATATTAAACTTCATTAAATTCTTACATTATTGGAAGGCATGAACTGCCTGTAATAAACTCCTTTAAGATTCGACTGCTTTGATCCTCTACCACCTTGCAGGATGATCTGCGCCAAATCGTTCATGAACGAAGAAGTATCCACGTTATAATATTCAAAAAGGTTTTGCTTCCAAAATATATTTGCAGCCCTAAAATAATAATTTCAATTAATGATTCCATTTTTTTTTTAATAATTTCTTTTAATTTGCTAACCAGGTGACTGTTCCAACACCAGATCCAAAATCAAACAAACTCCTAGGTTTAAAGTCTTTGTCTCTCAATTGAATTTCAGTGAATATCTTTACTAGTACTGAATACTCTGGTGCAGACCTTCCTATGAGATATACAAGACTGTTGTAAGCATCATAAACAATTGGAGACCAATTATAAACATGCACCTTCAACATGTTGATCACTTTATCTTTGACTTTCTGCTTAAACTGATCAGTCTCCAGTTTGTCTGGTGCAACTTTTGAAGCTTCCTTGCTCATCACCTTTTCAAATATATTGCTCTTCAATTCTGACACTCCTTCAGCTTCCATTGGTGGTAATCGCCCTAATAACTTCCTGTTCAGTAAAGTAGCAGATTGAGCAAGCAATTTGATTGGATGATCTAATCAAACATTATTAATAAACTTAAGTTTGACTATATAAAAGACATGATAATACCTTCAATTATATTTCTTATACTTTTAACTACGTTATCAGGTAATGCATTTGTGGGCTGCTTAACAATTCCAGGATGCCTTCTGGCAGAATACACATTATTTTCAACATTTTGTATTACCTCCTCGTTACCCAAAACTTTAAACTTGCTTTGACTTTGGTACTGAAACAATAGACTTTTTACATTAAAATTACAAAATTTACATTCCTATGTACCTGTCTTATAGAAAATCTTAGTATTACCGATACTTTTCTATTTCTGATCATGTTTACTGTTGTTGCTTAGGTTATGTTTTGTATTTTAGGTTACAAATTAAAATTAGTAGAAAATCCAGCTAATTATATTCGAAAATTAAAATAATGCTATATTAAACTGTCTGTAACTTCTCCTAAACTAATTTATTTATAATTTAGTAATAATTAATTTAAATTTGAAGTTCTAATTATTGACAAAAGAGGGAGATTAAAAAAATAAAGAAATAACATAATAGTCTTAGAAACTGCTAATAATAGAGTTTAATGAATAGATTATTATAAGATCTATATTTTTTTAAATTATTATTTGCAATTACGGACTTCATTCTTCTTCTTCTTCTCCCATCCCACCTCTTCATTTGGCTTCCCTCGATAATTATTAAATTAAGCAATCCCTAGATTATGCGAATATCTAAATAGATCTAAGCTATCAATTTTAGTTATTTAATATTATTAATTATATCCCTAATTAAAAAGTAGGATAATGAGCAGCGCCAAAACAGCTGAACTATAAGCTTTGAAATGAAACCAAAAGATGACCGAAAAATGTAAAATTAAGTTGAAGAGAAACCACTACATTTGGGTATGTAACCAAATATACACGCATGTATGCATGTAAGCTCAGAACAGCTTTTAGTTCAGCAGTTTTGGCGCTGTTTCAAATTGGATTTATT